ATTTTTTGAAAAAAAAAAAAAAAAAAAAAAAAAAAAAAAAGCATGATAAGCCTTTAGGAAAAAAGTTTCCTTACAATTACTTCCCCTCCTTTACAGGCCACCCTGTTCAGATAGAAAGTATGAGTAAAGGTTGTAGCTATAAGGAGCCTCCTAGCTTTCAACTAATCAATCTAATAGCTACATAATTGAATGTGATGACTTTTAAATCCCACATAGCTGAACCACCCAAGACGAGAAAAACCCGGGATGTTTTACAACAGATTGAACAATATAAATAAAACAAAAAGTTGGTTTATGAGTTAATGCAAAACTTTAAAATTAAATTTAGTTAATTCAAACACGCGATAATGTAGGGGCAAAACTGAAATCCGAAAAAATTAAAAAAAAAAGCGGAAGCTAAAAAACAAGACGAAGTGGTCCATGCAATCCCATTTTCAAAAACCAAAAGATAAGGCATCATGAAACAAACAACGACCAGTATCAAAATCTTTTGGCCAAATTAAACGGAACGGTCCAATATCCCATTACTGTTCCAAGCAATTCCACCGAATTTCAAATAACAGTGCCTCGTTTGGCGCTTGGCAAATTGGTGACCACCGCCACGAAAAGGAAACAACAAGTTTCTTTGAAAACACTTTCACTTTCTTTTCAACACAACAGCATTATGGCGAGGAGCGCACGATTGCTGAAAATACTTAAAACGGCGAAACTCAAAAACCCTCGGTTGGATACGCACGTGGTCTCACAAGAATAATAACAGAAATAAAAAAAGGCAAAGCCTAATTTGAAGGTGAGAATGGTTACCGTTGAAATGCAGGTTGGAGAAGAAGAAAGGAGTGTCGGTGCCGTTGTTTGGTGGCGAAACGACGTCGCACGGAGAGCGAAAGGAAAGCGTGAGGTTAGCGAATGATAAACAGTTATTATATAAGTGTCGTTCTCGAAAAGCACAATCCCAAACTCCAATGGCGGAAAAAGAGAGAGAGTGAGGGAGCGTGTGGTTTCTCTTTCTCAATTCTCACTCACTTTCTGGCTGGCTTCGTATCTGTGCGGTGTGCGCAGTGATAGTCAAAGAGGCTTGTGACTTGTGACTTGTGACTTGTGAGAGATAGCGAAGCAGGGTGGGGTGGGGCCCACGGTCTTTTCATCAAGCGGCTCAAAGAGGATTGCTTGATCCGACGGTGATGCTGACTTGCATAGAGCGGATGGAGAGCATATTCTGGGTCCCACTCTGATTCATGTTGAAAGTCAAGTGTGAGTTGGTGGGCTTCCAAGGGGCCCGCGTAACTGTTTCTTTGCGGTTTATGGGCCTTTAAATTGGGCTTAGGGTGGGTGGGCTATTCTATTGAAATTGGCGTTTGTCGTTTTGTGCCGTCGATGTTGCAAAAGGCGAAACAATGTTTATTGGGGATCACTTTTATCCTTTTCTTTCTCATATCATATCCCACGTTTCGCATCCTCAAAGTTGCCTTCCACTTTCTGCGTTAAACCTCTTTATTAATCATTTTAATCTTTCCACCTTTTTCTTTTCAACTCTTTTTTTTTTATACTTTATTTTCTCTAACATTATTATATATTTCACATTTTTAAATTTTTGTCTTATTCAAAAAGTTACGGTAATTATAATTTTAAATAGTTAAAAGTATGTAATAATTTTTGTTGGTCTTTGTTGAATAATTAAACTATCTTTTCAATTAAGTTCTTGTTTTTAATTCCAAGGTTAGCACTCAATGTTAGGGTTGATACATGCAAAGTTTTTTTTTTCATAATACTATTGCTATAAAAAAAAAAAAATTTTAATTACTTAATTTTATCGAACAATTTTAATAAAGACTTCCTTTGATTATGTTTTGTTTTTTTTCATCTAAGACCATAATTAAAAAAATTTGAACCGCTTCCACTTGAATCAACAACGTGCAAGTAGCTAAGTTGAGTGCTTATTAGTATATTAATTTTAGATACATATTTAAACTATTTTTTTATTTTTGTCAGTAAATCATTACTTCGAATATGTATTACTAAATTTGGTATAGATATATAAAAAAAATAGTTTTATCTTTAAGTCTGAGTCTCGAAATTCTCTTGACTCATTCCGCTCCTGAGATTGAAGTGGCAAGGAAAGATAATAAAGACTTCATTATTAGGTACCTTAAATCAAAACATCACTACTAGAAATAAGATCCAATCACTTTTCAAATGAATAACATGATGATGATTAGTAGGCCAACACCTAGGTTGTTTTTTCATGACAATCGAGTCTTAAAAAAATTACATAGCACATGTGGTGTTGTTATTTAATGACAATCGAGTCTTAAAAATTACATGGCACATAAATAATCAGATCAAATAAATAAAAATAGAGTTAATTATCTTTATTATTGTAAAGTTTTTTATACTAATAATCAATCATATTTTTTAAATTATTTTATTTTATTTTTATTTTATTAAATAAACAAATAACATGATATTATTAAAAGATATAATTGATTATTAGTGTAAAAAAAAATTATATTAATAATATATAGATAATTAATTCATAAAAATATATAGGATCATAACTTTGCGACCCTATTACCAACAATGGTCCAAATTCCAAACACAATTCAGTGATACACAAGATACTTGGGCTGCTAGCTCAAAGTGCACTAAAAGTTAGTAGCTATGTTTCAAAAAACAAAAAACAAAAAACAAAAAACAATGTGACCTATGATCATGTGATGTTTTTGTTCTTGATAACAGTGAGATAGATGATGCTAAATATGAGGTATTTCCTCTCCGGATGTCTAATATTCTCTCACTAAAATTATGAACTGAATTTTAAAAATCAAAAAATGAATGTAATTTGATTTTTAATTTTGTTGGAATTTATATATTCTTATTTTCATACAGAATACTTTAGTCTATGCAAAGAAAAATCTTTATCATATGCAGTGTGGATTTCTATGTGAAAATTGGCTCAAAGTGGGTATAAGGTGTAAAAACATTCTTTTGGTGGTAAGGTGAAAAAGATTTTAATGATTCTCTACGATAAAAATTAAAAACTGTTCTTTTTAATATATAGATAAGTTATTTACCTTACTTTTTGGCAATTAAAAATAAAAATTTCTATAAATAAATCAACTCATATCATATATATTAAACATGAATAATTATTTCACACGAGAATATTTGTATTGATTTTTTTTTTCACTTTTAATCTAATTCAATTTTATATTTATTTATGAATTAAATTTTAATAATTTAAAAATAAATTATCAATAAATAATAAATAATTGTATACCGTAATATGAATTATTTATCTTAAATCTAAATATAATTTATGTTTTAAAATACTATTTATACATAACATATATTCAAATTAGCAAATAATCATAAAATTATTTTATATATTAATTTGAATTAATGAAATGAAGTATCAAATAATTTTCAAATTTTAAAAAACTTTACAGATTTAATCTACACATTAAGAATTTTAAATTCAATAATTAGATTGTTAAAATTTGATGTAAAACATGAGTTATTAAACAGAATAAGTCTTGGTAAACTTATTCCAAGAATAAATGGATCCCTCATATATATATATATATATATATATATGTATATATATATATATATATATATAATGAATATTTAAACCGTGAAATGATGGTTATGTTAGAATAAAATAAAAACTCTTTTTATATAGATTTGTAATTCTATTTATTTCAATAAGTTTGTTTAATATCGTTAGGATCATCACAATTATTAAGTTATCACAATTTTGACATTGGAAAAACATTTCTATAAGCTAAAAAAAGTTTAATTCTTAAGTGATGTAAATCTATTTAGACATATCATGTTGAGATATAAAAGTAGGTTAGATTTTTTTTCTAATGTTAATGTTCTCATAATAAGTTCGTTAATATTATTAAAGTTAATATATTCAAAGTATTATTCGTTGTGATACTCATTGAATTATTATGATTTTATCTTAAAATAATGTCTTGATAAATTAAAAATAAATAATATTTATAAATTACTCTTACTATTAACCGGCGTAATTTTTTTTACACATATCAAAATACCTCTTGAAGTTTTTTTAAAAAGTTGTGATTGATTATGTCATTTCATAAGGTCGGATGTTATTTTAATGTAAACTTATCGTAAAAAGCAAATGAATACATAAATTACTGCCTTAAAAGTGACTATTTAAGGTTTGGTCGTGCATTGCATGAAAATAATTAGTATAAAAACTAATCGACCACTATAAATAAAAGTTTGAAAAAACAAAAGGAAGCATCATTACAGCATGTGCTTTATATTAAAATTTTCATTAAACACGAATAAAATGAAATTGCATATTGTCTCGATTCCAATTATTAACAGCGTATTGGCGAAATGATTAATGGTGAAATTTCAAATGAAAACATAGTGTGCAATTATTCTGCAGCATTTATCAGTGGATTTCTTTTATATTATTCCAAGCTAATATTCAATGTTAAACTAATATGCTTATTTGATAAATTTTGCCTATGAAATAATGTGCACCATTTATATTGCTGAGTAGAATGTATGGAAATCGACCCTTTAATGTCATGTTTTCCTTAAACAGACATAAAAATGCCAAAGGTAATTTTATTCTATTTTTGAAACTACTTATGTTTTTCCAATGAAAGCATTGTGTGCAATTATTCTGCAGCATTTATCAGTGGATTTTTTTTTTTTATATCATTGCAAGTTTATTCAATGTTTATCAATATCTTAATGAATTTTAAAATATTTTTCAAATCAATAAAAATGATTTATTAAGAGTAATATGACTTTATTTAAAATTTAATTTTTAATTTTCTATAGTGTAAAATTACTTATTAACTTATCATAATTAATTTTATTATTTTATTTAATGTTTGTTTCTTTTCTCTTATAAACACACCACATTTAATTCATGGAGAAAAAAAAATAATCAATAAAAATTATAATGATGATAACAGGCTTTTAATATATGATCTTATACATACTATCGTGATTATTTAAGTACTTGATACTAGAATCTTGAATATTTTACATATCTTACCTTTCAAACTACTCAATATCTCACAAATGATATTAGTCTTTAATTTAGTAGACTAAAAATATTTGGTAGGTTAAAAAAATATCACTCAATATGTTTTTTTGTTTTTTAAAAAAAAAACTATAACAACAAAAATGAGAATCAAATCTAAGTTGTTATGCATCTAATCTAACATCCAACTACTAGCTCTAACCTAATGGTTTCAAACGGTATAAGTTTGAATGGTGTTAATTCATTACATTTTTTTTAATGAAAAAAAATCAAAGTCTGTTAAGTTCGTAAATTGTCTTTCAATAAGTTGGGCTGGTAATTTATCAGCCTATTGAATGTTTGGCTCTTTCTTTTTGAACTTTTTTGTTTCTCAACCTTGCCCATTAACCAATATCTTAACGAGGCTTGGGAAATCTCCTGAAGCAGTTTATTATTTTATTTATTTTTGGTGTTTGTGTATTATATATATATATATGTTAAAAGTAAGAGTTTGACATGGAGTAGTAGCTGAACAGATGTCTCAACCGTGTGCATTGCATATATGCGAAGAACAAGAACAAGAATGATGAAAATGTGTTGATTCGGATACTTTTGTTTGGCTATGAAGTTGAATGTTTTATTATCATATGGTGGGGTAAGGACTTTTTATGAATAATATTTAAAAGGTGGAGCAGTGAGAATCTTATCTAAGATTGAGTACACACACGGTATTGGGACCGGATCAAAATTTCTGTCTCTAAATCCTGTCCCTCCAATCATAAATTGCCACGTCATCATATTTATTTTTATTTTTATTTTTAAAAAATATAATTAATTTGTTACAGTTTTTTCTTTACCAAAGAGAAGAAAAAAGCATATGTAGCCTTCTTCCTCCTCCACCGCTGTGGGGGTTTCGTTTCGGCGGCGTCAGAGGGCGGAGGCCGTCCGATTCGAAGGCCTTGTCGTGGGCGGCGACGGAGGGAGCGCGGCGGCGACGGTGGAGAAGGAAGAAACTCTCTCACTTAATTCATGATGGATGTGGCTGTGACGACAGGAGGTCACATAAA